GGAGGTTTTGGTGAGTCAGGATCGCACCATTGCACCCCAGCCTGGGCAACAAGAGTGAAACTCCGTCTCAAAACAAACCTTACATAATAAAAATTATTTTGGTTCTGAAAACTTTTATATTAAAAGTGTAGGTTTTGGAAAATTTTAACATTTTTTAGGGCAGGGCATTATTTTTAAAATAAATTACCCTTTCAGGAAGATCAAGGGATACAGAAATGTGTATAATAATGAAGTCTTTTTTTGTTGGAGGCTGAAGTTCTGTTTTTTTTTTTCTTGGAGGGAGTGATAAGAGGAAATTAGCTCAAACATGAGACGTTTAAATTTATATAAAGGAAAAATTGCACTCAAAATGAATGCTTTTGAAAAACAGAAGAAATTACTTGGAATTGTTGCTGAATATTCTTCCTTGAGGTCTTTAAAGCTATCTGTGTAAATTTAGATGTAACTCTGCCAGATGATTCAAGTTCCTGTAAAGATCTTGAGACTGTTTGCATTAATTGCTTAACAGTCTCTATGCAGTTAAATAAAAGTTGAATGATGTTTTCCATTAGTTTTTATAAATTTCTCACTGATATAAAGAATCTTCCCTATAATTAGGTTGCTTTTGACTAGATGCAGACTTTTCAAACGATTCCAAATTTGAAATTTTACTCTCCTATGTTTATGTAGGTTCTCTTTTCTTCCTCATCTCCTTTTCTTTAAAGTTGTCTGGAAAATAGCCTTGTTTCTTTTGTAATTTGTATACCTCTAGTACTGTTTCATACTACAAAACATAGCTGTTTTAATTCTTCTGATATCTGAATTGTAAAAGAAAGTAAGAAAACTAGGAACACCGTTGACATAACACTGGTGCTCTTTTTAAAAATGCCATACTCCAAAATGTTTTAAATGCCATATTGATTTGTACATACTCATTTTCTGACCTCATACTGTGGTCAGAAAATAAGAATTTAAAAGAATATTGTTTCTTTGGATTTTTTTTCTCTTTTTGCTATTATGCCGTAACTGTTAATCAGAGCTTTTAATGTATTTTATTTGCAGATAACATTTATGATTTTAACCAAAGGACAACTGCCTTTATCTTCTTTTTCTGTCAAAATTTTTCAACTCAATTGTCTCAACTGAGGTAGTCCAGATTTTTTGTTTATTAGCTATGTAATGTCTGTCATGTTACCCAACCTCACTGTGTTCAGTTTTCTAATGTGTAAATTAGGGGTAATATGATTACTTATTTCCTACAGTAATCAAGAAATTAAATGAGATAATAAATGTAAAGCTATTAGAATTGTCCCTACAGTAATGTTAGCTGCTTCAACTATTACTGCTACTACCACCACCACTGCTGTTTCCATCACACTATCATTGCTCGTTCTAACATCAGTAGTGAATGCATTTTGTCTAAGTACTATGATGAATACAAAAAATGTGGAGCTCAATGTCTGCCCTCTAGAAACTTAACATGTAGTTAGGGCTAACAGACAAAAACAAATGCATAAATAAGTCAACTAACTATATGAAGCTAATTTGAATTGAGGCTTAGGTGATAGGTAGTATAGAAACTTAGTATAAGGAAAAAGTATTTTTGAATTGAGACTACCATGGAAAACTTCACGGGTAAGAGACATGGATAAGAGCCATAAGTTAAGAGAATTAGAATTGTATTTTCCAGGACCCATCTGAATGAAGTGTAGATCTCTCAGGGCCAAATTTGCTGGCAAAAGAAGTTACAATAGTGATCCTTTAATCAGAGAAAAGTTATTGAAGTTGATGTTAAGAAAAATCTGCTTATTCATGGAGTAGATTATATATATAAAGGTTAAAGCCCCAGAGACAAATTTAAGAGGTGTTATGGTTTAAAAAGGTGAGGAGGTAAATGCCTCATAGATATGTGTTAATAGGAACAGGAAGGAAGGGACACCTGGGATAACTAGGACAGGGTTTAGTGAGTAAATGAATATATGGTTGAGTTAATAGGCAGGGGAGGTGCAAAGGAACTCCTAAGGATTTGAGTGTAGGAGAGTTATATATCCATTGACATTGATTTGGTTTGCAAGTACTGATTATTTTCTGCATGCTGTAGATAGGAAGAACAAGACACAGTTGCCTTCCAGGACTAGAGGGGGAAATAGAGGTACTTGTTTCAAAGGCAGATGAATTTGATTTTACGTATCTTAAGTAGTAAGGCATGGTTAGATGCCCGTGGGAGTGTTCTGCAAACTTTTGGGGTTTTAGATGTAGCAGGGGGAAATGAGGACTGTAGATTAGATTTGGAAGTCGGTCAGAGCCCGGAAAATTGAGTTCTGCCCTGATGGGGGCAGTGGGGAATATAGTGAGGAGAAGAGCATGTATAAAATGTTAGCCACGCCTGATTCTTTTAACAACAGGTGAAGTGGTATTTGACCCCCTTCAGGTGCAGGGTTTTCCTTTCCAATTAAGTTTAATCACGAGATTTGGCCGGGCACAGCGGCTCACACCTGTAATCCCAGCACTTTGGGAGGCCAAGGCAGGTGGATTGCCTGAGCTCAGGAGTTTGTGACCAGCCTGGGCAACATGGTGAAACCCTGTCTCTACTAAAATATAAAAAATTAGCCAGGCATGGCAGTGTGTGCCTGTAATCCCAGCTACTTGGGAGGCTGCTGGGAGGCACAGGTTGCAGTGAGCAGAGATTGCACCACTGCAGTCCAGCCTGGGCAACAGAGCAAGACTCCCCCTGAAAAAAAAAAAAAAAACAAAACAGATTTTTGTATTTTTTCCCTCCCTCCGTTCCTCTCTTCCTTCCTCCCTCCCTTCTTCCTTGAGACAGGATCTCATTCTGTCACCCAGGCTGTAGTGTAGTGTCTCAATCTTGCTTCACTGCAACCTCTGCCTTCCAGGCTCAAGCAGTCCTCCCACCCCAGCCTCCCAAGTAGCTAGGACTACAGGCATGCACCACCATGCCCAACTACATTTTGTATTTTTTGTAGAGACGGAGTTTTGCCATGTTGCCCAGGCTCCTCTTGAATTCCTGGGCCCAATGTATTATACCACCTACCTTGGCCTCCCAAAGTGCTGGGATTACAGGGATGAGCCACCACACCTGGCTGTTTGTACTTTTCTTTGTAGAAATGACTTTTTTATAGTGGGAACATTGGGAATTAACTTTCCTTTTTTCAGTGATTTGATCTTTAATCCGTTTATGCTCAGTGTTCCATTATTGGAATGCTAAGCTTCTGGGAGTTGTTTGTGTCCTACTGCTCAAGGTCATTTCCAAGGTCTGATTTTTCACAAAAATAATTTGCCACCTCCAGCATAAATGGGTTAATCATGTAAACAATATTAACATGTTTCTAGGTAGTATATTTGTGTTTAATGGAAGGTATATTTAAAATATACTATTTTATACTAAAATAAAATTAAAATAAATTTTAAATATACCTTTGCCTTTAACAGAATACTTTGAACTTGTTAAGAAATTTCACAGAGGTAATACCTCTTTCAGGAGATAGATGGAAATTTAGTGGAGATAAAATGCAATTTGTTTTGCTTTTTTGTTTAGTAGTTCTCACTTCCTTTTGGAAGTAGTGATAGTAGAAATTTATTTTTTTCTCATTTCTTGCTTATTTAACACATGCTGTTTATATTTATGCAAAATATTTATTAGCCAGTGATTGTTACCACTTGCATCTGGTCAGTATATAATTTGAATGGAAAGCCTGTTTTTAAGATTGAACTGTAAGAAATGTGAAATGAAAATTGCCCTTTTGTTTAAATGTAGAGATTATAGTTCATCTTAAGCTAAAGCAAATGTCTTCTATATTCACCTAACTGGCTGGTACTCATTTTCCAGTGGGAACTCCTTTCTGATATTTCTTCAGAAATTTCCATGTTTTTCAAATATCAAAAGGAGATATCAGTCAAGGCCTGGTGCCATGGCCCACGCTTATAATCCCAACAGTTTGGAAGGCTGAGAAGGGAAGACTGTATTTAATTATAGATCTAATTGGCTTTTATTCATGATTCATGAATTAAGACAGCTTCTGTTCTGCAACTAGAATGACAACTCCCACTGGGCAATGGCAGTGCAGTGGGTTTGGTAAGGTGGAAACAAGGAAATAGAACAATAGGGAAAAAAAAAACGATTGGTTAAGTTACTTTTTGGTAAAGAGAGTTTGAGGCAACATAGTGAGACCTTCTCTCTACAAAAAAAAAAAAAGAAAAAAAATAGAATAAAATTAGCTGGGCATAGTAGCTCATGCCTGTAGTCCCAGCTATTCCAGAGGCTGAGGTGAGAGGACTGCTTAAGCCTGGAAAGTTAAGGCAGTAGTGAGTCATGATCACAATGCTGCACTCTAGCCTGGGCAACAGAGCAAGACCCTATTTCCAAAAACAAAGAGATCTTAATCAAGAAATCAGGAAAATGTGGGGGAGGGGTAAATATTATAATTCTTCTGAGAATTAAAGCTTGATAGTTAACATAGTCATTGCTGGTGGAAGGAATCCATTGATGTCAGGTTAAAAGCAGGCACAAGAAACACTGACATAGGGAATTAGGTCCCAGACATCAAATCTGGAACTTGCAGGAGAGAAACAGTCACATTCTGCACAGTTAGTCTGGAATATAACTTTGGTTATGGGAGTCATTCTTATAAACAAAATAAATAAGTTTGTGTACATATTATACTTTATATAAATCCTAAGAAATAATCCTTTTTTTTTCTCAAAGAAATAAGGTTTGGAGCAAAACAAATCCTTAAATTGGCAGATTTAACAGATGCTTCTGTGTAGTGAAGCTAACCTTTGTAGGAGACACTAATGTCGTTTTATTAAAGTGGTAATAATGTGCTGGTGTTTTCCAGTATTTGAATATCTACTAAAGGCTACAATTCTTTATATATACTTCAACAGAAGAAATGTGAAGAGGAGATATGAATGCTGTATAATTCTGTGACATAGAATCAAAAATTCATCTAAAATCAGAATTAGTAAAAGCCATATCCATTTCAAAGGTAAAAATGTCTGACCTGCCCGGACCCTCGTTGCTTGGACCCCAAGGACCGATCGAATTAAACGAGACGAAGTAAGAGTTCAGGCTTTATTAGGAAATCTCTGGGCAGACTAGACTCGTGCACGGGGGAGAGTCAGCAGTCTCGCGCCGGTTTTCTTTGTCTTGCGGTTTTTATAGGGGTAGTGGAGCTGAGAGAGTGGGAGAGCCGAGGTGGCGGGTAGCGGTTGGTCAGTTTAAACTGCCGGGCGGGAAGTTGGGGGAGAGCTGATGGGGCGGGTGGTGATTGGTTGGGTGGTCGCTGGGCGGGAGGTAGCTGGAGTTGCGCCAGTCGGGGTCTCAGAGAGCTGAGCCGGGAAGCCGGGCGGGGCAAGATGGGAACTTCCCATGTAAGCGGAGAGGGACTTTCCACATGGGGAAGTAAAATACCTTCCATGTGGCTGGGCTCTGGGTGGGGGTTGGGGGGGTGGGTAAGAGAGGCCCAAGGGTCCTCCACCAGACATTAACCACATTCAGAATAATTGGACAAAATATTTTTATCATGGAAAAATGTAAACTTATGTGAAGCAACATGTACCCTAACACCTGTCAAAAGACAATTATGACATTCAATTATAGCTCAAATTGGCTTTTATTCATGATTCATGAATCAGGACAGCCTCTGTTCTACAAATAGAATGAAAACTCCCACTGGGCAATGGCAGAACAGTAGGTTTGGTAAGGTGGAAACAAGAAAACAGAACAATAGGAGAAAAACCTGATTGGTTAACATAAGTTACTTCTTGGTAAATGTTAACACACAGGAGACTGACTTATGCTAACTCAGGTAGACTGGACTCATCTGTTTTCAGGAAAAACTAGTCTGTTTGCATCTATTTGGTTATATGGCATTTAACATTAATGACTCTATTTTGGTTTGGTCTATTTTGTTAGGGCCTAATGCAGGAGCTTAGTCCAAAACAATGGCTTCCCATAATTTTTGTTTGACATTCCCCTAACATAATTTTTGTTTGACACACTCTCACCTGGGTAAGATCCTTTAGTACCCCCAGGTGAGAGTGTGACCAAAACTTAGGGCATTAGTGCTACTTTCAGTTTCTGTCATTCTGCATTTCCAGTCTCCACATGCCATTCATACATTACAGTGTTCTCATGGTCATTCATTTATTTGAGTTTTTGGTGTTTCAGCCAAGAAAGACCATTTGACAGATGGCTGCATATAAACATTCAAAGCATTTGAGAGAATACAGTGCATAGGGAGACTACTACTGTCAGAAGGATAGTATAAAGAGTTTAGAGCATGTTCCCTAAACAAGGTCCCCATGAACCAAACCAGTCAAATCAGATAGATCAATGAATGAGCTGTATTAGAAGTCTACCCATTTTAACCAAGTAGACTTTTGTTAATTTTTTTGTACCTGAGTCTCTATAATACCAGATGTATTTATTCCTGTGTAACAAGAAGTGTCTGCAATTGCACAGATTCCTTCCTGTTCAGCTAGTAGGTAGAAATTCTATTATCCAGCTTCCTATGACTGTGCTCATTTAAAACAAGGAGTGAGAACAAGTGGTTCTAGAAGTCCAGCTCTATACAAGGGAGCAGTAGTTCAATTTGAACAAACAGTTATATTACAGATGTTGTTAAAGTTAACCACTAGGTATACTAAAGGATCTCTTAGGTCATGTAAAGATTTGAGTTTGACATGACAGATCCAGCACTTCATCAAGTTACCGACAGAAGCTGTTGATTGTGAAATTTTGATTACAGCATTATCCTGCCAAGCAAAAATGGTAGGCTTAAGCAAGGCATTAAGAGAGGTAAGAGTCTCATTATCACGAGGAGGCTTGTTCCAAAGTCTTGGGAAAAGCTGTCCACAGCACAAAGCTGTCAACTTCTTGTCCTGGTTCCCTTTTTTTAATGTCTCTAGTTATGGTATAGGGTTATTTGCTAAACTGTGTGTGGCCCACACATTAGGCATGTAACTTGTCTCTTGAACAATATTGATTTGTCCAGCTTGTCTCTTGAACAATATTGATTTGTTGTTTAATCCTTATAGGGATTAAAGAACAGAGCAGTTATTATTCTTAGTTATAGAGTTGTATGGAGCCAGATATTGGAGGTGTATTAGTCTCTTCTCATGCTGCTATAAAGAAATGCCCAAGACTGGGTAATATATAAAGAAAAGAGGTTTAATTGACTCACAGTTCTGCATGGCTGGGGAGACCTCAGGAAACTTACCATCATGGCGGAAGGGGAAGAAGAAGCAGGCAGCTTCTTCACAAAGCAACAGGGAGATTCAGTGTGAGCAGGGAAAATGCCAGATACTTATAAAACCATCACATCTCATGAGACTCACTATCATAAGAATAGCATGGGGGAAACTGCCCCCATGATCCAATTACCTCCACCTGGTCCCACCCTTGACACATAGGGATTATGGGGATTACAGTTCCAGGTGAGATTTGGGTGGGGAAACAGAGCCAAACCATATGAGGAAACCAGAAGAATCCAGGATCCAGTTCAGTCTATAGGAAGATAATAAAAACTTACAAACAACGAACTGGGCTACAATCTAACAGATATACTGTGGCTTTTTTTCATAGTTTTGGCTGGGCGTAGTGGCTGACACCTGTAATCTCAACACTTTGGGAGGCTGAGGCAGGCAGATCGTTTGAGGCCAGGAGTTTGAGACCAGCTGGCCAATGTGGCGAAACCCCGTCTTACTAAAAATACAAAAATTAGCTAGACATGGTGGCACATGCCTGTTAATCTCAGCTACATGGGAGGCTGACGCACAAGAATTACTTGAACCCAGGAGGTGGAAGTTGCAGGGAGCTGAGATTGCACCACTGCACTCCAACCTGGGTGACAGAGCTAGACTCTGTCTCAAAAAAAAAAAAAAAGAAAAAAGAAAAGTTTGTTTTTCTGGAACTTTTGATAGGTAATCTCAAATAAGACTTTTAAAAGACTCTCAAGGCTTTGAAGCCAAACCAAGTACTCACCATTAAACATCACCTATTGTACCTAATTGTGGTGAATTCCTTTCTCCTTGAGGTCCTGAAAATATCCTGAGTTTCTTGGGCCTGTCAGGAAGTGGCATTCTGTAACCCTCTATAAGACCACAAGCTGGGCTATTGTATTTTAGGTACCAGGCCAGTTTTTCCATGGTGGCAGTAGGGGAGAGGGCTGACAGAGGTGTTAATGGCTCCATAAAGTCAACTTTAAATCCCTGAAGTTGTTTGGTCATATCTGAAAATAGAGATTCCAGTCAAAGCCTTGTTAATATGACCATTGTTTCTATGACCATTGTTTCCAACTGTGTCCTTTTACAAGGAGAACAGATTCTTAAGACGCTTAATGTAAATGATTATATTGCCATAAAAGTAAGGATACTCACTAATAGTTTCCAAAATCTGGAGAGATCAGATGGGACAAAAAAGTAAAGGTTTCAAATTTTACTCACAAAAGCAAACTTGACCAAGCTACTATAAGCTATAGATTAAAAGAAAAAAAAAAAAAGTTTCATTAAATCAGGAAAACAAAACACTGAAGTATCAGAAATATTTCAAATAAAAAGTCATAAAAAATTATTCTTATCAGTTTATATAGTTCCATGTAATTTATTCTTGTTCTGGCAGATCTTCGTTAGCAGTTTCATGAAGCCATCAGTTTCTTCACTAGAGTTTTATAAATTCTTATTCAGGCCAATGGTATGATCTTAAAGTTATCGGAAACTTGTATTCCAGAATACTTGTAATGAATCTTGAAGAATAAGCAATTTTGGACTGTAACTTACTCCACATATTTTTAGGGAAGAATCAAAACCATTGTCTGTGGATGACCAAGACTTAGAGTGGCCGTGGTTAAAAGTCTGATGAGAATTTATTATAATCAGCAGTTGACAAAGAAATTTAGTTATTGCTGTGGCATTATGACATTTAACATAATAACCAAAAATTATGACTGGTAACTATTAGATTTCTAGGAATCTCATACAAATTTTGGAATACTCATATCAGTAGCATACCCATTTATATAATATAAAGAATGTTTAGTATAACTTATTATTTGACACTGCTTCCATATAATTTAACATCACATAAGCCTAATTACTTATGTTTCACAAAGTGAGAAACACAGCCTTTGGGCTTTCCAGGGGCCCAACTAGAAAATTCCAAAGTTAAATTAAGGTCGAAGAGACTTAATTTAGAATTTGATTTGGTAAGTTTGTAAAAAATATCAAAAGGTTTTAAACCTTGATTAAATATGATCTTATCTATTTAATCAAAAAAAGATTTTAAAGGCAAGTACAGGTTATACAGTTAACAAAAACTTAACTCTTTTAATATTGGGAAGACTCACTTGAGTAATTAAAGACCTAATAAAAGATAACATCAAGCACTAATGATTATCTTGGTGAAACCCAAAATCTTTGTTTACTAGGCCAATTGTTTAAAAGGCAAAGAAAAATCTTTCACTATTTCCTATTAAGAGCAGATCAGTCCTCAAAGAACATTTTATAACTTTTCTTACCAAAAACACATATTACTTGTTTCTTGCAGATTCCACAGCTTTCAAAATTTTTCATTTGAGAATTTCCACATAGTTTCTTTCCCCCCTTTAAACTGTTAGTCTTTTAGTTACCTGTTCTATTCCCCTAAACAGTTATTAACCTGGCAACCCTAAATGTGCACTTCCAAGGGATGATTCTTAGGTAAAACGATGTAGAAAATTTTTATCTCAAAGGCATGGAGAAAGAATGCAGATTTTTACAAGAATGATATTAGAGCATATTACCTATTATCAGAGGTCCGTTTTGTCAGATGAACTATGTTTTAGATCTGAATATCTCCAAATCACATCTGGATGAACAAAGCATATATCTGCCAAAACTGGATTTGTTGCATTTTCCTCCAATTTGGTCTTGAGATTTCTCTCTGGAGAGTGGCACTGAACTCTAGCCCTACCCTGTCAGGCTTGTCAAAATAGCCACTCTCTAGGAGAGCCTAGACTGGTTCAGATGTGTCAGGTAGGTGAGATGTAGAGGGCGAATCATAGTAATTCACTACAGGATTGTATAAGGAAG